TACCAGGTAATGTTCTAGTGTATTATTGGAGTTACAGGTATACTAGAATTGGATGGAGAGGTTAAGGAAGATTAAAGTATGAGGATTGAGAAGGACAGGTGTAGAAGTCATAGCAGGTTTAATGCTCAGAGTGGAGATTATGCTTGAGAGAGCTGGAATTTCAGCCCTATGTATATATGTAAGGTTTACACTTAGCAGTAATTTGCTGCCCTTAAATGCTAACAGCATAAGAGGTGCTTAATCCACATAATGTCCTCACTTGTCTTTTATAATTTGTCTTTTCAATTTCATGTGCTATTCTTGTTAAAAACATATAAACCAGAACCTTCATACAACATTGTTGATTATAGAATAGCATTAATTTAAGGTAGTTACTACATTTTAGACTTTGATTGGAGTCCTTTAACTATTGCATATCAGATTAATAATAATATCAGACTATAATGTACCCTTAAGAATTGTCAGTGATGTTAAGGATGGTGTTATATTGGGCTTGTAATGAGTGTAACATTATTTCATTCAGTTGAAACACAGGATTAACTGTCTTTTTTGCCCTCACAGGCCACCTCCACCACAACCGAAAGTGTCATCTCAGGGAAATTTAATTCCTGCTCGTCCTGCTCCTGCACCTCCTTTATATAGCACCGTCACTTGATTTTTTTTACTTTCCTTTTGCAGATATCTTCAGGGAACTGAGCTAATACTTTTTTTTCCTGATATTTTCTTGAAAAGCCTTTCTTCCTGCTGCAATATGAATGAGAACAAAATACTGCAGAACAAACTTTATTGACACAGAAAAACAGAAATCGAGTAGTAGGAATTGAGAAATATAAGAAATGTGGTAAAGCCAAGGAATTTAGAATGACATTTCCATTTCCATCCCTGAATAAGTCTTATTCAGTCATCTGTGAGGTTAATGCACCTAACATGGATTCTGTTATTTTGAACATGTTATTGTAATGATTCTCAAATAAATTGTATTTGTTTAAGTTTTGCCATTATGTGCTTAAATGTAATTCTGAATTTTGACCTTAGTTATCATTAATGTAGTTTCTGGTTGAACATGTGATAATCTAATACCTATGAAAACTGACTAATTAGCTACCAATAATGTCTAATGTTTTTCATCTTGCATGGACTAATAATCATCATATGCTAGAATCTTGTCTGTCCCATTCACTACATGAATAAAGGAATATTTTGTCTTCACAAGAGTGCACGAAACCCACAATTGAGATATCATAATATTATTTTGAAAGTACAAAGTATACTAAAAGTGTGTGTGTGTATTCACACACAGTTATCTTCCATTTTATGATTATTCTATGGATAAATGATTCTATGGATCTATCTATGGATAAGGAGTATTAGAAAATTTAATTTAATAGTAGAATTTCTATTATGAATCATGTTAAAGCATGACATCCTTTTACAATAGCATTATTTTAAATAAATTATAAACTTTAAGGTACGAAGTATTTAATAGAGCTAATCAGATATGCTGTTGATTAGTGGCTATAATAAAGCAGGAGCAATTATAATATCTTCAATCAACTGAGCTGTCATAAAACCACTTGAGAATTTCATGAGCACTTTAAAATCTGAAACTTCAAAGCTTGCTGTTAATATGATTTAGAATGTTTACATTTTCTAAGGTGTGCTGGATCATGTCTCTGTTGACACTAATACTTTCAAAGAAATTAGGCTGGAGAAAGGAAGAAAAGGTTTTCTTAGATAAATGTAAAAAAGTTAGTGTCGTGTCTGTGAGTTACCATCCCAGCTGTGTTAAAAAATGAATTTTTACTGTGGAAGAAATGTATGGATGGTAAAATTTTAAACACTTAAAAATTTTTCATAACCTTTCATAATAAAGTTTAATATACGTTTATTAACTGAATTTCATTAGTTTTTCAAAAAATTTTTGATTTGTGTATATATACATATACAAATATAATATTTACAATAAATAAAATAGTTGAAATTCTGTTTTGTGTTGCCCAGTAACTTCCTAAATACTCAGCTGTTTATGACTTTCTTAATGAAAACATTATACTGGTTTTAGATAAAACTCCTAGTCAAACTTTTACAGATATTATCTCACTAGTTTTTCAGACTTCTGCCAAATTGTGCACAATGGCTTTTTGTTATTAAAGGTAAACAGATTAGTTTTTTTTTTTTTTTCACGGTTTGACTTCATTTTATTTTTTATTTTATTATTGTTATTTTTTTTTTGTGAGGAGATCAGCCCTGTGCTAACATCTGCCAATCCTCCTCTTTTTTTTTTTTTTTGGCTGAGGAAGACTGGCCCTGGGCTAACATCTGTGCCCATCTTGCTTCACTTTATATGGGATGCTGCCACAGCATGGCGTGCCAAGCAGTGCGTTGGTGCAGCGCCTGGGATCGGAACCGGCGAACCCCGGGCCACTGCAGCGGAGTGCGAGCACTTAACCGCTTGCGCCACCGGATTGGCCCCCTAAACAGATTAGTTTTGAAGAGAGATACTTCAGTTCTCTGAAGATGGTACATTATTTTAACAATAAGGTATATATTAAAAATTGTAAACAATCCCAAACGAACTCTGCATTTCAATTTAAATCTCTGAATCAATTCATATAAGAGTAAAATGTTTATCATCTGTCTTAATATTTGCAATTGTAATTCATATCACTGACATTTTACAGTTGGATATATGTTAACTATGTAACTTAAAACTTTCCTCAGAAATAGATAATTCCTTGGATCTTTGAATATTTAGAAAGTTTTTCTAAAAGACTATTTGATCAGTCTAAACTTTTTACTTTTATATATATTTTTACACATTTTGTATGCTTTTCACTTAGGTTTGTCCTTGATTTATTTTGGATTGCTATTAAAAATGGTAAAATTTCTTCATAGATGCCACTTCAAAATTAGAAAATATTAAAGGGCTTCCTTGCCGTCTGCTAAAGATGTTTTAATAATCAAGATAAGTTATATGTAGCTTTGATATCACAGTTTGACTATATGTTCACAAATTAACCTTGTTCAGTATACAGTAGTCCCCCTGTATCCGTGGGGGATACCTTTCAAGACCCCCAGTGGATGCCTGAAACCATGGATATATACCATGTATTTTCCTATACCAATGGGGGGGGTAATGTATACAGCATGAATATGCTGGACAAAATGGATGATTTACATCCTAGGCGGGAGGGAGCAGAACAGCGGGAGATTTCATTATGTTACTCAGGGCACAATTTAAAGCTTAAGAATTGTTTATTTCTGGAATTTCCCATTTCATATTTTCTGATTTCGGTTGACCATGGGTAACTGAAACCACAGATAGTAAAACCTTGGATAAAGGGGGACTACTGTATTGCATTTTCCCTTTCTATCAAGCAGATTCCTGGGTGTCTAACTGTATAGTTAAACCCAATCCAGGTTTTATAAGCACAAATCAGATTTTATTAAATTTCATAAATGTTTACTGAAACTCTGCCATCTTGCAGGTGCCATATTAGGTACTGTGATATATAAGTTATGGATGGGACATGCATCCTGTCATGGAAAGAGCCATGTACACAAGTAAAAATAATATAAAATCTGCTCTTAAAGACTTAAACAGGAAAGGTTGAGGAAAGGGAAATAACAAGGAAAGAACTAGAAATTCATTCAAAATACCACTAATTGACAAGTCTAAGCATTTACTCTAATTGTTCTTCTAATGTTCCGAACCCAACTTTTGGCTCAACTACTGCCTAAAAGCAATGTTAGTCTAGCATTGGCTGTTCCTATTGAGATACAAGCTAGGTATATATTTTTATTGCCTTGTTTTTGCTCATGCTATTGTTTTTCAGGCTTAGATTGCTCTGGTGAAATCCTATGCATCCATAAAATCGCATCTCAACTGTCGGTTTAGATATGTGATTCCCCAAGTGACCTTTTCTGTGTTCCCATGGGGCCTGTTAGTTTGTGTCCGCTTTTCTGTTAATTAGTCTGAGAGATTAATTCATTCTTTGAAATTTGAAAAGAATTAAAAGATGGTGCATATAGGTGGGGACTGGGGGTGAGGGTGGGAGGGAGGAGGCATCGCAGTCCACGGGACTAAGGCAGTGTTCATTCAGGAGAGACCAGAGCTCAAGGTGGCCAGAGCACTGGGGATAGGAGAAAACAGGGCGAATTTAGAAAATTTTGAATTCTGTGTTGAGGAATTTGGCTAGAATTTTCTGAAATTATGGGGAAGAATCTTGTCCGTCTCATTCACTACATGAATGAATGAATATTCACTGCACTGAGAAGTTACTGAACAAGAGAATATCACATGAATTTTAGCCAAGGGCATGTGGAGAACCAGGTTACTGGAGGAGAAAGCAGACACAGCCTGGCTGCAAAGTGCATTTGGCCAGTGGGTATGGAAAAAAACCGTAGCAGGCTCTTTCCAAAGATATCAAAATCTAACTTTTCCCTTTCTTGGAATCTTTTCCACACATCTGGTTAGTTTTTTTTTTCTTTAATTTTAGAAACCCAGCTTTAGTAAAAATGAAGATGTATGTGTATTTATGTGCGAGTGTCTGCGTGCGTATAGTTTTCAAGTCAGAGAGTATTTATTACACGTTCGTCTTTTAAAGCACCTGGAAGTGCCTGATACAAAACAGCGCACAATAAACGTGTTAGTTCCTGCAGGTCCGTCAGCACGACGCGCAACATCTGTGGGGGACGACGGCCGCGACGGCGGGGCTGCGGTGGTTGAACTCCAGACGCACAGCGGGTCGGCCGGCAGTGCGCGCGCAGGGCACGGGCCGTCCTCATACTACGGCGGGCGCAATGCCGGTGAGGGGTGCTCGGGGCGTTGAATACCAGGCGCACCCCCGGGGCAGCGGCCTCGCGAGAACGCCGCCCGCGAACGCGCGGGGAGGCGGCCTTCGGGGTCCGTGCGTCCCGGGCCGGCGGGTAGCGGCGCCCGTCTCGAGCCGGCCCAACGGTCCCCCGTCAGTCCCCGCCCGGAGCCCAGGAGCCACAGCATGTTCCGCCTAATGATGCTGCTTGGGGGTCTCAGTGGCTTGCTAGCGTCAAGACCTGGTAAGCCGGTGGAGACCTGTTAGTCCGTTCTGGGGCGGAGGAAGGTTTTTCTTTTCCTTCTTTTAACGCGTACCTGCTTCCGTCAAACTGTGGCCCAACTCCGTTGAAAACCCCGGGTCCTTCCCTGCTTTTTGTTCATTTGGCCCTGACACCCTGGAAGCCCGGCCGTGTTTGGGCGCCGCGTGGGGATAGAGAAGTGACTCAGGAGAGGGGCAGATAATGTTAATAAGCTCGAGGACAAATCCCTTAGTCTCTGACTCGCGGTTCGGGGCGGCCTTGCTTGTAGGTCTGTCATGTACTTCACAGAACTGCCGCAAATCGCTGGCGCCCAAAAGCATCCCGGAAACAACTTGAACTCCACTCAAACTTCAAAAAACTGGCTTTCCCCGGCTATCGTTTGTTCCAGCATGATAACTTGTCCTGCATACAATAATAATTTGTCCTGCAATGCAAAAAAAAATTCAGCGTCTGCTATGCTGACACTGACAAAGGTACCTTATGGCAGGAAACGAAGAGCGGTAGAGTCCTCAAAATTTTAAAATATATTAGGAGAGGTTTAGATGCAAGTAAAATTTTTAGGTATGTTCTGATTTTCCTTCCCTTTTTTATGCACTGTTCTGCGTCTTGCCATCCCGTGTCAGTACGAGGAATGTCTTGTTTTTTCCCCGTCTGCATAGTGTTCCATTGTTTGGAGGTATCACAATTTATTTACCCAGCTCTCTTATTAAGGGACTTTTGGATTGTTTCCAGTCTTTTTGCTGTTACATGCTGTGTTAGTGAGCTCAGACTGCCATAACAAAATGCCTTAGACTGGGTGGCTCAAACAACAGAAATTTATTTTCTCATAGTTCTGGAGGCAAAAAGTCTGAGATCGGGGTGCCATCACTGTGGGGTTCTGGCGAGGTCTCTCTTCCTGTCTAGTAATTGCCTTCTTGCCTTTACTCACATGACCTCTTCTTGGTGTGCAGAGAGAGAGCAAACTCTGTGGTGTCTCTTCTTTTAAGGGCACTAATCCCATCATGAGAGCTCCACCTTTATGACCTATGATAATTAGATCTAACGCTAATTATCTCCCAAAGGTCCCATTTCCAAATACCATCGTATTGGGGGGTTAGGACTTCAACATGAATTTGGAGGGGACACAAACCTTCACCAGAACGCATACAAGATTTTAATGTAGTGGTTCTTAAACTTTTTGGAATTTTTCTTTACACATTAACAGTTATTGAAATTCTCAGAGAGCTTTTATGTTTTTGTTTATATCTGTCAATATTTATCATATTAGAAATTAATTGTTGACCGAGGAAAAATTCACTAGAATTCAAATGGCAGATATTTCTTTGCACAATTGGAATTGCAATTCTAGAGATAGATTCAGGTGGAAACCCAAGATGTGTTCTGAGGACGACAGAGGAAGCAAGGGTTTATAAAGGCAAAAAGAGAGAAATCACACATGTTATTTTGCAAAATTTGTGATTGGTGCTGGCAAGAACTGTTACTTCTTGGCTATACTGATTGGTTGCCAAGGCCATCTCTAAGGCAAAAAGTTCTTATCTGTAGGAGTAAGCATATCTCTTGAAAGAAGGTCAAGATGACAATAGTAAGGCACAGTTCAAAAGTTACAGCCTGTCTGGGAAGAGATGTAGTTAGTGTGTGGTGCCTAAGTCCCATTTCCTTAATGGCCTCCCAGCTCCATTTTAGAAGCCTTGACATATGTTACTTCATTTTGTTATCACTGTTCACATAATATGGAAATTTAAGAATTTTTATTAATTCATTTAAAAATAACAAGATTGACTTATATGTTAACATAAGTAACGCATTTTAAAAATAAAAACTATATTTTCCAAAACAAAAAGAATTTAGAGAGTGATATTGCTTTACATTTTGGTAAATCTCCTTAATGTCTGGCTTAATAGATGACTACTAGATTCTCATATCTACTTCCGCATTCAATCTGTTGCTATATGTTTTATTTGAAATACATGAAGAAAATCCAGTTTATGTAGTTGGAAAAGGGAGGAGTATTTTGATAACCTTTTCAGATAATTACCAATATTCTTCTTTGGATACTACATCAAAACGTGGTAAGTGGTAAAGGTTAGTTGGAATGTGGAATCAAAACATATCAATGAACTTTTTTTAGTATGCTATGTTAAAATGTATTGGTCTATCTTGAACATCAGTGGATCTTTTACCCATGTGTTTGTTTAATGCATTACCTTGCTTTTTAATTTTTAAATTGTGGTAAAATACACATAACATAAAATTTACCATCTTAACCATTTAAAAAAAATAAAGTTTATATTTTAGAGTGTTTTATGTTCACAGCAAAATTGAGAGGAAGGTAAAGAGATTTCCCATACATTCTGTGTCCCCACACATGTACAGCCTCTGCTATTGACATCCTCCACCACAGTGATGCATTTATTACTGTCCCACACTGACACATCGTTATCACCCAGAATCCATAGTTTACCCTAGGGTTCACTCTTGGTGGTATACGTTCTATAGATTTTGACAAATGTATAATGACATGTATCCACGATTATGGTATATAGAATAGTTTCACTGCCCTAAAACTTCTCTGCGCTCTGCCTCTTCATCCCTCCCTCCTCCCTAACTTCTGGCAACCACTGATAGTTTTACTGTCTCCATAGTTTTGCCTTTTCCAGAATGTCACATGGTTGGACTCATACAGTATGTAGCCTTTTTAGATTGACTTCTTTCACTTAGTATTATGCATTTATGGTTCCTCTGTGTCTTTTTCATGGCTCCATAGCTTATTTCATTTTAGTTCTGAGCAATATTCCCTTGTCTGGATGAACCAGTTTATTTATCCATTCACCTACTGAAGGACATCAGGGTTGCTTCCAGGTTTTGGTAATTATGAAAAAAGATGCTGTAAACATTAGTGTGCAGGTTTTTGTGTGAAGATAAGTTTTCAAATCCTTTTGCTAATTACCAAGGAGCATGATTGCTGGATCATATGGTAAGTGTATGTTTAGTTTTGTAAAAAACTACCAAACTGTCCTCCAAAGTGGCTGTACCATTTTGCATTCCCACCAGCAATGAATGAGAGTTCCTGTCGCGTCACATCCTTGCCAGCATTTGGTGTTGTCAGTGTTCTTGATGTTGGCCATTCTAATAGGTGTGTAGTGATATCTCATTATTGTTTTAATTTGCAAGTCTCTAGTGACATATGATGTAGAGCATGTTCTCATCTTCTTATTTGCCATCTATATATCTTCTTTGATGAGGTGTCTGTTCAGGTATTTCGTTCATTTTCTAATTGGATTGTTTGTTTTCTTATTGTTGAGTTTTCAGAGTTCTTTGTATATTTTGTAATTTTATTTATTTATTTTTTTCCCCCAAAGCCCCAGTAGATAGTTGTATGTCATAG